AGGAAGAGAGGCAGGCCGCGCTGAGCGAACCTGACAACATGCGCCAGATAGAGAAGGCCCAGGCGAAGTACATCAGTTAACAAACCCTCCTATCAGACAATCCCTGTCGAGTTTGGCTAGTTTGAGCTCCAAAACAGTGGTAGGGAAATCATAGGATCTACTGGGGTCAGTTTTATTTATCTATTTATTTAGTCTATGCAGATTCTTATACTGTCTTTCTTTGAATTTGTTACAAAGATCTCAAACATCATCATAAACAACATGAAGGTCCTCTTCCTACTGCTTCATGTCTTTCAAAATTCAAAGTATTTTCACCTAGCATAAAAGATATATATATGCATATATTGTTATTATTATCATCTTCAAACAACCCCTTTTATTCAAGATGTGAAAACGTGCCTATCTTAAGGTGGTCAAATGACACTTTAATGGCTCACTGAGACAAAAAAAACAAACATGTAAGCATTATTTAGTAGATTTAGACATATTTCCTTTGACAAACTACAGAAATTACATGTGTTCCTGTAACTGAAGGTTAATAAAATGACTTCTGTACATACACTTTTACATTTGTATGTTTATTAAATGCAGCTTTAATGCCTTACTACAGATCAACAGGTGGAAAGTTACTGAGTTGAATTAGACAAAACCTTGGTTGTTAAGGACAAATTGGGTGAGAGGCACAAACAAAGGCAAATGTCTGAGAACATAAAAGGTCATTCCATTTCATGTCTAAGGACAAGGTACCGTGAACACAGTGTTCATTTCCTCCAGCATTATTTGGCTCTCCTACATTCCAGAAGACAAAGTAGACTGCAGACCCATCAGACCACATCCACCTTCCTTGTTTGTGGGTGTCACTCAGTCCGATCCAGATGTGTCTTTCAGCCTGGTTGAATTTCTTCACCAGGGCTTTGACAAAATTTTGTTCCTTCAGGCTGTGGATAGACACCAGGTTGGTTCCCTCTGACACACAGTGGAGCTCTGCATCAGCCCAGGTCATAGCTGTGGCAACGTACTTGTAGCAGCGGCCATTGAAGCTGTGCTCAGAATTGGTGCAGTTGCCATGCTGTAGCTTCACTGAAGGAAACACAGCACTCAGAAGCAGACCAAACAAAAAGAGGAACAAGAGCATGTTGGAGCAAGAGTCTCTGAGTCTTTTTTAAGCACAACAAGGGGTTAATGTGTTGGTTGGAGTGGGATCAACATCCTGAAAGAGACAGTCGGAAGGCCAGCTTCTTTTGTTTGCTTCAGAGAGGGTGTCTCCTTGTTGGTGTGATATCATTGGTCAAATGCATTCGGCATACACCTTCATTTTTATTTCTGAACATAGGCTGTGTTGGTGGAGCAGATTTAGAACACAGTCAGTTGGACTTTGGGCTGAAAGATAAAAAGAATGGCTCTTAGGTCCAACTTGAAACCCATTCCTACCAACAAGCTGCTGAATAAAACATAACTAGAAAATTATCAAGCCTGTGCTGCAATTCTGTTGAGTGTCTAGTGTTAGCTGCCATGTTGGAAGGATTTTTTGCTCTGTGCTAGTCACATGACTGCAAACCATGAATCAGCCCTGTCTCACAGTAGTGAAGAGTCCTTTAAAAAAAATTTTATCTGAATGAAAATCCATCCATATCAAAATCCATTCATTTCTTTTTGTGTTATGCTGTGAAAAACAAACTAACATAAGAAAGAAACAACATACTAAACACTGTAAAACAAGGCATATAACTACAACTTAACACTAAGACAATAGTACATGCATTGTGACAATAGTTTTTTTTTTTTACCATAAAAAGCTTTACAGTCATGACTACTGATAAAATACTAAACAAAGCCTCCTGTTTTCTCTCCAGTGCAGTATTTGACACAAGAGAAAGGCAACATATGTGTGTCGTCTATGCAGTCTTAATTTGTATTTCTTTGAATTTTTTACAAAGAAAAAGAGAATAGGAGGTTTGAATTGATTTGTCTCAACCATCTTCAACATAAACATTGTGAACGTCTTCTTCCTGTCACTGCACAGGTCTGTAAGTATTATGCCCACAACAGCTGTATAAGCTATTCAAAGAGTAAGAAATAAAATGTTTGCTCAGTGTGAAATGAATTAAAAATATTTAGACTCACTCAAGAAAGGCCATGTCCTGTGTTCACTTGACTAAAGTAACAGGATATTGTCACTTCTCAAACACGTTCTGTTTAACACAACTACACAGATCTGAACATAATCCAACAGACAACCACCAGTTCACCTGGAGATATCACATAAATCTTATAATGTATTTATTTTCAATGAAATGTTGACATAATAAAACACAGCTTTAGAAAAGACATGCAGCTTCAGCTGACCAAAGGTTGAAGGGGCATAAGGGGAGACATATTACTTTGGGGTTGATTCTTTTTAATTTAAAACAGATAAATGATAACATACCATACATAAGCATATATTTACAGACTGAAAATATTAGAATAGAACAAAGCCTTCAGTGTGTTCAGTGGTGTCTCTTGCATCGTTCATTTTGTGTTTTTTTAATCATGCAGAAAAAAATCTTTAAAGAGTCATGATAAGACAATAAATACAACCCCTGTTTGTTTCCTTTCTGCTACAGCATTTGATACCAGAGTTAAAAAGAGGTATCAACACACTGACGTGCTGTTCTGCTGTCCCCAAGTGGCCACAACACACAACTTTCACATTCCAGCTGTTGCATCTTCAAACCACTAACACTGTGTTCTCAAAGTGGGCACTTCCTTTGAACATGGCACATAAACTGAGACATTTTCTCACCTCAGAAACACACAAATAAACATTTCATCACAATAAATAGCTAAAATAGCATAATTATTCTGGTCTTTGAACACACTGTTTGTGCATGTGTGCATCACGGTCATGTTAACAGTAAGGTCTTTCTTTGTCATAGAATATGAACACATCTTACAGTAAGAATCTCTGACTTGGCTTCACCAGTGACATCTTTAAAACATAACAATGTAACTTTGAAGAGAAAAAATAACACAGTGATCTTCTTGCAAGTAAAAACCTGAGCTCACAAACAATAAAACAAATACAGGAGTTTTGCTGCTACAGCCTTACTTGGCCTGCTCTAACCAGATATGATGCTTTTGTTAGCTGATGTTAGTAAACTTTAGGTAAATGTAGCTGTATAACAGGCTTTCAATTTGCTGTCCGTGATATAGTGTATATTAAATATGAAAACTAGATAAATTTCACTACTAATGTATTTAAAAACAGAATTGTTAAGCCTGACGGATTTAAAAAAAAATCTTTTAAGTTTAGTATTACTTGCAATTATGTTTTTCTTTTATTACATAAATCTTTACTTATTTTCCAAAACTACATCATGAAAGTCATTTT